TAATTTATACACATATGCAAATTACTGTGCATATGGTTATTTCATGGTTCCCTTTGTTTTGAATTAACAAGGTTTCCCTGGCCCAAGGGACCAGAAAACGTCTTCAAAATTCCAAAGTAGACTCATTTCAAAGTAACCACATTGTAATGCATACAAAAACCTATCCTTTCAAGTAGGGAGTGACAATAGCTTCAAGATATCCAACACTCTGAACTCTCCAATATTAAACTGATGAGATTTTACTGTATTTTGGCAAAACCAAACCAGCTTCCCTGCTTAAGATATGTACCCCAATTTTGGAGGGCTGTTTTTGAGGAAAAGGTGTGTGTAATATGCCAGAAAATATGGTAGCTAAACAAGTAAGCTGGTCATGGAATGGATACGGAAAATATAGGAGCCTGGCCACTCACAATATGGACGTACTTGAGACACTTGCAAACTGGGGTGAACTTTTTGTTTTCATTTATTTTTTTGATAATGCATATTAATGAGCTATGGACATAAATTATACACAAACCAGTATACAGAGTCAGAAACCAGTTCAAAATCTGTAACACAACAGAAGTTCACTACACATAAACCACTTTAAAAATGACCAAACTAGTTTAAGATAATCCTGGATGGATGAAATATCAGACCTGACTGATTTAGGTTAAATCAGTTTATTAAAAACTTTCCCAGATCCCTTTCACGTTCAACCTAACTCTCAGTCCCACAGCATCTCAGGATGCTTTGCACCTCCCCTTTAAACCTCCCCTCACAGAGCGGGCAAGCTAGCCTTGGCTCAAGCTGTCTGCAGTAGCCAGCAAGAGGGCATGCTATAGTATCCCCTTGTTTCTGGCCTGGGCCACTGCAGACATATGGCTGCATTTCCAAAATCAAAAGCAAGTGTCTGTTCACTTGCTTATTCACTTAATCTACGCAGCTTAGACTTCTCTGCAAAAATTGAATCAGCTCAGCCTTGGACTTTTGGACTGTCTATACTTAGCCTTGCTGGCGTTCATATTAAGGATATAAGGCATGTCATAGACAAAATTTCAAATAGTCAAATTTCAGACTGTTTCTGCTGATGTGGGTACCATTTTGGGATCAGCAGCTACTTTCCTCTCTCTTCTTTTTACTACATCTGAAAGAGCAGTATTCTGAAAGCAATAAAGTAGCTAATAGTGGAGTGCCCCACTTTTCCTGCCATATTAACATACAGAAATAGCACAGAGTGTACAAATTTTGGAAAGATAGTTATACTAGATTTGGAAGCCATTTAGATTTAGGCCCTGTGTATAATGGTACTGATAAGCACAGAAATAACATGCTTGGAATTTATAAGTAACACCAAATATAAACTCTGCCAATGTAAAACTGAGCACAATTCCTACATACACAGCCAGGAGAAAACTTCTCTTTGACTAATGTAGTCAAACAGTTGCCTAGAGGCACTTTAAGTCTCAGAATTTTAAACTGCTACCTGTTTGATGTCTTAACTAACTACTCTAAGTCTACTGTAATACAGCCAGTAGTTGGTAACCAGAATCCAAGAAAGGGACAATGCAATTTAATAAATTTACTCAATCTCTAGAACTCATGGCTTGGCATGTTGTTTAGAATATCATGTTAACATCCCAGGGAGAGGCTTGAATATATCAAATCAAGGAGAACAGAATTGACACAAGGGCCACAAGGTAAACAAAAGTAGTCATTTCAATAAAATGTAAAGAAAACACTATTTCCTTGTGAAACAGAGGCAAACTCCCATGCCCAGTCACAGTGCCGGCCTACCACCTGTCTTTGGGCAAGACGCCTGCCTTCCTCAGCTGCCATGCCTTGTTGTTAAATAATTATGTTGACTGGGGGGAGGCTGACCTTCAAGTGCCCTGTGCTGTTCACAGGCGGTAAACACGACTCCCATCTCTCCCTATTATGTCCCATGCCTCACAGATGTTCCCCATGAGTTGTGCTATGCTCCGGTGTCAGGCAGTCACCATGTAAGGACGTATAACCCAACATTCTGCTGATATTCACTGGCCCCTCAGTGTGGCTGCGCCCCTACGGTTGAGCTGGGTGAGATCTGGCGCCCTTTCCTTTCCCGCCTGCAACGACTTTGATGATATAGGTGATTCATAAATGGGATGTGGTAACTGCCCATCTCGTACCCAGATCAATTGCAGGTACTGCTCAGTGCCCAAAGCCCGGACCCAGAAACGATGGAAGGACCAGCCCAAAGCCAACCTTCCAGTTCCATCTTTTTTTTTTTAAATTTTTTTCTTTCTTTTTCTTTTCCTCAAAAGTCCTTGACTTCTGCCCTCCTCCTTCTGGACGTCTGCAAGGTCTGGTGCCCTGTTGCCTGGGGCCATTACCCCAGGATCTTCAGCGGTCCACCTTCCCGCCCTGGTCTCTTCTTTGGGATCTTAAAGCCAAACCGCAGCGGGCTTAATTACCGGCAAGTGCTGCTTCCACAGCTGGCAATTCCCTCCGGAGTGATCAGCTGGGGACGGAGCGCAGTCCTCGCTGTTCGAAGTTTCTGCCTACCCCCATTTCAGCTGCAGAGCCTCTCCAGGGACCCGCTTCTCTTCTTTTCCTGAGCAGACGCCTGCCCTTGGTCAGAACTCTTCGACCAGCTGAACGACGTCCACGGGAGAGATCAAAGCAAAAGAGAAAAAAGAGGTACAGAGAGGGAAAAAAAAAAAAAAAGGCCGCAGCAAGTGGTTCAGGCAGAACCCTCGCCTCCACAGTTCCCTGGAGCCTTTCCTGGATCCCCTTCTGCCGGCTGGCCTCTGTTACCCTCTTCTTTACTCCTGCAGTGAGGGTGTCACCACCTCCTCTGAGTCAGACCAAGGGCTCACCCACACTTCTGGCTCCTTGGTTTTCCGGCTCTGCTCCTTCGGCATCCCCTCCTCCTCCTCCGGCCTGCCCCTGGCCTCCAGATATAGCCTGCGCTGCGGATTGCCTCCAATCCGCTTCACCTGGCGTGGAAGTAAAGCCGGGCAGGTACAGATCAGGAGTTCCCGTTGTAGCCTGGACATTGCAACACAAAGTGATTCCTGTCCCTGGCCAGGGACACAGCCTCAGTGAGTACCCTCCGGGCTCTCACATCCAGCTTGAGGCCAGGCCCAACTCAGCACAGTGTTAGGCCTCTCTCATACTGCCCCGTTCAAAGGCCTCACTCATACCATCCCCCTCTCACTGGTGCCTCTCTCTCTCTCATGCCCCTTAGTGGACCACATTCACCCCACTCTATTCCCTTGAGTGACCCTGGAGGGTCAGGCTTGGCTTTGCACTCCTCAGCCAGCCCCGGTGCAGCCTTTTGGGCCTATCTTGCAACCCTCATCTAAACGGTGGCTGGGCAATTAGCAGAACACTGGCCTGACTCTGCCCCTGGCCTCTCAATGAGTAACACAACCCACTAGTTCACAATTTGGGGGCTGATGACTTGCCTCTTTCACTTATGGCTCTGTCTCTATGCCACCTCTCACGGCCTCATTCACCCAAAGGCTTACCTTGACACAACTCTTGCCCATCGGCCACGGCCTTGACACAGCTCTCGCCTCTTTCTGGGGCTCCAGAATTTTACACCCCAATGGGCTCAGGTGTCCCTTGCACAGGCATGCCTGACCCCACTACCAACTCTGGGCTTAGGTGCCTCCCAGCCTGAGTGGGTAGTGCACAGGCATGCCTGGCCCCACTTCTCTCTGATGTTGTAAACTGCCTTAACCCTAGCCCCCGCTACCTGCCTTTAACTGGAGAGGTAACTGGCCTGGCATCTCTTTGGGACTCCCTCGCCACCAGGAGTCCCACCAGGCCACCTTTCCCTGGCAAGGTGCAATCTCAGGTCATGCCCAGGAGCAGGAGCCTCCTGCCATCCCCCCATAACTCATGCCCTTACCTCAAAGATGTTCCCTGAGCAGTAGGGCAACTGGGTGGTGTTGTTCCCTCAGCTGCTGGAAGTACACTGCTGCCCCAGCCCTGAGGCAGTGTGGCAGAAGGCCACCTCTGTTTCTCCCCAAAAACTCTGCTCTGTGACAATTTGGTTATTTAAAAAAGGCCAGAATTGACTCAATCTGCGGGCCCCTTAAGAATGAACCACCAGTTTCTGAGGAGCTGAGGTAAAGCTGGAAATTTACAGTAACTGAAGCCTTAAAAGGTATACCATTTGGGGCAGGAGACTACATCACTCTCTACCCTCTTGGTGCAAATTCATTTGTATACCTTACTGGGGCAGGAATTTCTTTCTTCTGCTAATAAGACCTTCTCTTAAGATTTAATGGGTCTCTACTGAAACTTTCTTGATGGTTATTCAAGCCACATTAATAGGGTTACAAGCTTTATGGGGAGTGGGCCAATGGACTCAGGAAAAAAGTATCTCCCTTCTTTTCATGCTGTCAGCCTCCAGTCTAATCCCAGAGAAAGACGCCTGCTCAGCTACCTTGGACAGACTTTTTACAAACCACCAATTGTGAACTTTATCTGTCAGTTCTGCCAACGTACGGATTGGTTGAGCAGTGGAAAACATTTCTTGCCCTTCAGCTTCCTCTTGGTGTCTCTGTCTGCTTGAGGGATAAATAGAAGTGCTACCTTTCAAACTCTCTTCAGAAAACTAATTTTATAGAGAAATATCTTGAAAGCAGTGAAGAAGTGCAGTGAAATTTTTCATCAGACCTTCTTTTAAACTACAGAGAATAAATCTGTTATAAAAAGTGGCCCCTTTGAAACTCCTACTTGTTGTATGCTGAAGACAAAGGATACTGGAGACCTTTTCCAAATAGGTAGCCCTAAGCAAAATTCAGAGCAAAGATCTAAGCTACACATGGGAAAACAGCCGAGACACCTTTGGAACACTCTGATATATATTGGACAAAAATATATTTAAGAATAAAATTGTTTAATACCCAACTACATATAATAAAGACTTTAAAAATATTTGAGTATTAATTAATAGGCGTAATAAATGTTGATTGCATTTTAGGTAAGGTTAGCTTCAAAAAATATAAAACTACAATACTTACATAACTATGACTCTTAAGGAAATTTGAAGGACTGCTTGTACAGACTTTGTCTCCTTCCAAGCCAATTACTCTTTTACAGATATTTGATTTTGGGTCACGTGGGCTTTTTGCAATTACAATGTCACCTCTAAGGAAACAAATTGAAAGAAATGTCAGTATAAATAAGTATCTGAATGAATATGTACATACGTAAAAGTTATAATCTTTCAATTAAAAATATTTACTCTGTTTCTTGATGATGAACCACCGAGTACAATTCTATAGAGACATGGGCATAAGGCCTATCTACGAAACAGTATATGTGTCATTCCTGGTGAGAATCAGTCCCTAACCTCCTGTCTGGACACAGCATCAAGAGCTCAGTGTAAAATAGAACAAGACAATCTAAAAATAGAAACGCTTATTCAGCTTGGTGGTAATGTGTTTAGAAGCACACAAGGGATTTTCAGCTTTTTGGCCAAACTCACAAAAGTAGTATGTACTATGTCCCGGGGAAACACTAACTTCAGTTGTTTTGTAATGCTGATTATGTTCACTAAAAGCAAAACAACTAATCTGTCTTCTTTCTTTGAGACAAAGTTCCTTGTAAGTCAAAGAATGTACAAAAACAAACTAAAGGTAGAGGAGTACAGGGAAAAGACACAACACCAATCTATAATAAGTAAATCAACGTACTTTTGAATGCTATAAAAATGGCGGCTAAGGTTGTCCAAAACAACAATATCATAATTTTGAATTGTTGGCTGCATTGAAGGTCCGGAACACTGCAAATTAAAAAAAAAAAAACCTTGTTGAAAAATAGTTCAACTCAAATACTGAAAAGATTAAATTATTTTTAAACAAGTTACCAAAACATCATAACATGAAGAAATAGGCCAAATCCTCATTTGTGGCCAAGAAGTATATTATACTGTTGAAAATGATGGGTATAAAGATGTCTTCAGAGCTTTTACAACTGTCGTGTCATTATAGGTCAATCCACTCTGGTCTCCACAAAATTTACCAGCTGCCAAAGGGCCAATACAGGAAATTAAGAGTGGGGGCCCCTTTCCTCATTTTCTGTGAGGGTGACCTAGAAGTTGTGGAAGTAATTCTGTCCCCCAGAGATTATTACTTTGGGGGGGGGGGGGGGGGGG